GGGGGGTACGCCGCGGAGAGAAGACCACAGCAATTTTCGCGGAGACCGTTTGTCGGCGGCACGTCTCTTCGCCGCCGGTCCGCGCGCTCGTGTTTATATATTATACATCCCTTATATTGTTATTACAATAACATACTTTTTCGCTCCTCTTGCCCACGCGGCCCACACGTACCTTGTATAGTGTCACAGTGTGTTGTAGATGGTCTCCGACTCATGATATGAGTGCAGAAGCACCGCCGAAGTGGTCAGTGTATTATTTATAATATATATAGTATAGTCACGTGCAGCTTACCAGCAGTCGTAGAAATGTTATTTCAAGATAATCGGCTCACACACGATTTTTGTCACCCCCCCCTCCACCCACGCGAGCTCCGTCTCTCGCTCGGCGGAATTTCGGTTTCGTCTGTACTTGTGATTTTTATATTTTCCTCTACACGCCTATATATTATATATTATATAGATACGAATTACGAATGCTCCGCGCAGTGAGTTGCTCGATAATTCATCATCTGTTCGCCTGTATAATGATATGATATAATAATAACGATAAACAGGTGCTGTATAATTCGATAAAATACCAAAACTCGGTTAATTGGCGGTTTCTTCTATGTGTAGTATAATATATACGATATTTTCCMYKGACGAGAGAGAAAAAACAACGTTTACCGTTGTAAAACATAATGAATCCTGTTTTAAATAAATTACCGTATATTAATAATAATATGATAGAAATTGATATGAACAAAAATGCGGATAAACACTTAAGGACATTATTCCCCACGAAAATATTATATACCATTGTGTCATGCAATCTACATATATATGTATATGTATATAATACGATGTATATAATATATTTATATGAACATTTATTTATATAGGTAGGTACCACTACGCGCTTTTTACCGACCGTCACCGCCGTGTTCTCGTCGATTATGCTTATTATAATGTACTACACGCACGCACGAACATCACTCGCGTTTACCGTAATAGGAAAAAACACGGAACGTTATATCCGTATTAAACCTATATATAAGAGGTACTCGCCTATTTTATTTTCCTCAACACGACAATTTTTCCAAACACCCTGAACCATGAACTATATGTATATAGTTATATATATATATATATATATATATAATGTATAAATGTACTCATGCTTTATAACGTTATATGTATTGCAGTATATAGGTACTTATTGCTAAATAATAAGACTATATCTATTCCTGCGGTTTTAAAGTTTCTATCCGCGTACCACCGAAAAAATTTGGAAATTGTCATGAACCACTTGACCAAACAATGTTTTTTTTTTTTTTTTTTTTTTTTCATAGATAATACGGACATTTTATAAGTATGCCCTTAAATGTGTGCAGTAATAATAATTATTAATATCGAATAAACCAAACAATAATTCWATATATTAAATGATCCGTTCCATTTTTATCATGAAGTGATTTTTTTAGTGCACTACCACCACTGAGCTTAGAAGGGCGTACCACTATAGTGGTGCGTGTGCCGTATAGGTTGAGAAACGTTGCTCTATTCGTATAATCTTACAGTTATGTATTAGACGAAAGTCAGTAGAGCGATTTAAGACGCAAAGGTAGATGGGTAGGTTTTATCTATATTAAAGATAATATTATGACGTATTATTATTGTCTTAAACCGTGGTAGATTCGTACTTGAGCGACTCGCCGGTACAGGTCGAAAATATTTTGCGTTCTCAATGGTCGTTTTTTTTTTTTTTTTTTTTTTTAGGTTTTTTATATAATTTAAATTTTTTTTTTTTTTAGTAGGGGGGGGCACAAATGGTTCGGTTTATTATGGTACCGATATTGTTTTTCTCGTATCAAAACCGCGGATTGTTGTCGATGAAATAATTATGTACATCGCATGCTYGTGCATTAAAATATTTTCGATTAGGTATGGTTTATGTATATTTTGTATGTATAAAGTGTTATACCGTGAGAGCGTTATCATTTATTTCCTACTCATTAGTACGTTTTGAATTTCAAACKTTCGATGACGATCTAACACAATATAATAATAATATGGTCAGTGATAATGAATTCCGTCGTAAGTGGTACGGTTAGTGGTACGGTTATTATCCGACGGCGACGTCATTGACTTTAATGTCTATATATGTGTAGTTTAATCATTACGGCTATTGGCTGGTGACAAAATTTCGGACTTAAGCCAATAATAGTAATAATAATAATATCAAGCACTCTTCGCAGACTGCACACGTGTGATTAATGATGTCGAAATGTTGATATAACGAACAATAGGTATATAATACATCTATATAATATATGAAAAAAATAATATTATTATTACACGCGTAGAACACGACGATATCACGAGCAACATGTTATGAGTCTGACACCTGCAGCAGTCCGAGGGTATCTGGACTTGTCTGCATGACGTATAGTTTATCATTTTATCGGTGTATCGCAAACACAATCGCTCTCGTATAGATTCGTGTGTATCGTAATTTACGGTTCGTTATTATATTTTGACAATCAAAACTGATACAAAAAGCTATATAATAATATGTCAAGTATACAACATTTTATAAAAGCGTTTGTTTTATAAATAAAATTTGTGGGTAAATCGTAAAACAAGTTTAATCGATATTATATGTGATGTGTAACGAGAAGCGAGTGAACACGCCGATTTGCATATACTATATTTATTATATAATATATAGAGAAACCATTTTTGATTTTTTTTCTCGTGATTTAATATGTCATAATATTTTGTATAATATGTTTATATCGAGAACAGGCCTCGAATATCGATAAATCTAAAATGTAAGTGCGATCATCCAAGCATTTWAAAAAAATTAATACAAGACGAAATTGTTTAAACCACTGTATATACAGCAATAATGTGGCAAGATAAATAATACTTTTTGTGATTGAAAAAGCATTTTATCGATCAACTGATGAATTACGATTCGTTAGCTGATTAAAAAAAAAAGCTAAGATTTTTGCTATATACTATCGCGGTGTACCTACCTATATATTATAATTATATACGATATCATATATAGCTGCAGTTTCGACGTCTGATGCGGAGACGAAAACTCGAATATTATAATCTCGTCGTGCGTATAAAAAACGCCATGCACAYAAACACTCATATCACCCACCCACGCACAGACTTCAAGAGGTGCACAATGTATATAGACATATTATACCTACCTAATATTATATAGGAAAAAAAAAACGAAAAATAAACGGCGCTCGCACGTGTGTGTAGACTCGATGATCTCGAAATGAATACAAATCTTACATCCGTTTCTGGTCGCCCGGTGCGTTACAATATTATTATCTTCGTATATAGTTCGTCGTAGTCGTCGCCATTGAGTCTCTCGATACCGGCAAACCCATTGTGTGAGCGGTCGCTCGCGCGTGTGCTTAAATCGCTGCAGCAACGAAGCATACGGGGGCGGGGTGCGACATGTGCGCATGTATGTATATGTTGTTTAACATTTAGGTACTATATAACAGCACATAACGCATCGCCACTGCGGCGGTGGCACGCTATTATACGTCGTCATAATAATATAACATATTATAATACATATAATAATAGTCCCTTCCGGCTCCGATAAAAAGTGCATGTACCGTTATCACGCGCCAAGCGCTCCGAAAGATATCGGATGTCCGGGCTCGTCGTGCGGGAGGTCCCTTATTCTATATATGGGTGTGTCGTATGTGTGCTCGCTGCCATTGTTCTTGTATATACGACTCGCGTACTCAATATATAATATGTATATACAGTGAGAGAGAGATAGATAATAGATGTCTTATTCACCACCACACACTTTTTTTTTGTCATATCATATATATATATATATATATTATTTTTTTATATTGTTATAATGTAAGTATATATGGATAGTGTAGATATATAGGCGCAGCCCTCAGATCGCAGGGTCGGTCGATGCAGGAGGGAAAATTAAGGGCTGCATCTGCCCCGGGCCACACATAATTTTTAGCGCTCCTGTTCCTCAAAAATATGAGAATAATTGTAATATTTGGATCCTAGATGTTTATTTAAGAAAAAAAAKGTTTGTGCTTTCAAACAGAAAATATATCGATTTTAATTAATAATTACAATAATGCAGTACCTATATCATCACTGCATTATGAACTGCAGTAGATTGCACTTAACAGTTCTTAACTTGTGTAATGTGTATGTCTATATAGATATCATAAAGATTCTATAATTATCACTGCAATTTTTGACCATCATTATTCAGTAATAATAATCGGCCAATAGGATAAATTTGCGGTTTTAGCCGAAAAATCCTCCTGCTCCGCGCGGGACCTTTGAAGTTAAATAGTTTGGCCCTTGTGGTGAAACTATAATTTAAGTGATTTGCGTCACATTTTGAAACTATATATTATAATTATTTAAAAACATTTTTCGGTTTTTGATTWTTGATTTTCGCGTATGTGTGTTACAGACGCGTGTTCGAGTAGGTCGACGCCGAAACCGCGACCGTTGCAGCCMACAGAACGGCCGAACATCACCTTCCACACCACCCCATGTCCAACCGTATACGCCAAATGGTATTGTCTCAACGAAGCCACGTGTTTCGCCATCGAAATCGGCGAATCTGTGCTGTACAATTGCGAGTGAGTATATAATAATAATAATGTAACGTGGTCGGGGTAACGATTACCTGCAGTTAAATATAAGATAATATCCAGTGAGAGTGCAGATAGAGCTCTATAGATATATAATTATACCGTAGCTGGGGGATGACAGATATAAAAATCTTAAATATATTTAAATAAATAGTGTACTACTTCAGTTATAATTTAGGTTTATTGTGTTAACAATAAAAMTCACTTACAATTATTATATAATATATATACTGCATAGTGACAATGTATCGTAGTTTTCCGGAGTTCAGTATTGGCAGTGTATTGTGATCTAAGGTRCACAGTGAACTAACTATTGCTTAATACATAATGAACTAAATGTGGTCAGCAGTTACATAGGTATCATGGAACATATACAGGGTGTCCCGCGAGGATTTACCCATTGCAAATTCTGGTTTAATAATAAGATTTACTGGGATAAGAACTACAATTATTTCATTTTTTAATTTATTTTAATGTTTTTGTAAAAAATGTAAAATATATATTTATTTATTTAATTATTTCTAAAAATATTAAAGATAGCCATTTTGTATAGTTTATTTTTCTGAAAATATTGACGTTTCAAAATTTTATTTTCATTAATTTCCTGATTTTTAATATTTTTTCTAGTTTTGAAGAAAATATAAGATATGATTATAAATTATAATGTATGACTATTAGGAGCACGGAAGGTATTCCGCTGGCCGTATGGGAATGCGCGTGGCGCGGCGGGTCACATGTTTGATAGCATTACGGTGTTAATTATAAATTCGCAATTTTTCTCGAAACTAAAAAAATATTAAAAATCAGGAAATTAATGAAAATACAATTTTGAAACATCAATATCTTCAGAAAAATAAACTCTACAAAATGGCTATCTCTAATTTTTATGGAAATAATTAAATAAAAAAAAATATTTTTTAACTTCTTTACCAAAACATTAAAATCGATTAAAGTATGAAATAATTGTACTTCTTATCCCTGTGAGTTTTATTACAAAATCAGAATTTCGATATCACCATTATTTCGGGAGATATTGCAATGGGCGAATCCTCACGGGACACTCTGTATATATATATATACGTCTATAATCGTTTATAATATTATAATTTAGTTTTACACATAAGTATATACCTCTTATGGGTACTATATATATTCAGCGTTTGTGCGTAAAACAATTATTACAGTAAAGTGCATTTCGTCGCAGCAAAAACCTCTTTAAACTTAGGTA